TGGTACAACTTAACACACAATAAGGGACTACATTTCACATATGCTGGTACTAAACGACTGAAAACTGGTATCAACTGACAAAAAAAATAAATACTTGGATCATTCCCTTCGTTTTTTTTCTTTCAGCAAAGTTGGTACAACTTTTCACACAAATAGGTACTACGTTTCACAAACGTCGGTACTAAAAGACTGAAAACTGGTATCAATTGTCAAATATTTACTTGCTTAGATCATTCCCTTCGTTTTTTTTCTTTTAGCAAAGCTGATACAACTTAACACACAATAAGGTACTACATTTCACATATGTTGGTACTAAACGACTGAAAACTGGTATCAACTGACAAAAAAAAATACTTGGATCATTCCCTTCGTTTTTTTTCTTTCAGCAAAGTTGGTACAACTTAACACACAATAAGGGACTACATTTCACATATGCTGGTACTAAACGACTGAAAACTGGTATCAACTGACAAAAAAAAAATACTTGGATCATTCCCTTCGTTTATTTTCTTTTAGCAAAGTTGGTACAACTTAACACACAAATAGGTATTATGTTTCACATAACTTGGTACTGATTTACGGACAAAGTGGTACTTTGATCATTCCCTTCGTTATTTTTAATCCGTCATGTGTAGCATGTCACGTGGATCGTTCACGCATGATTTGGTAACAACAAATCATAGATAAAACATATAGATGAAAACACATAGATGAAAATTATAGTAGTTATGTATGATCATTCAATGAAATGAAGTTTATCATTCAATGATATGACCAATAGTTAGTATTAATGTTTTTTCATTAATACCTTGAGTTAATGACCAATTGGCAAAGAAACTAAATTACACACATTAGAAAACTCGTATAAACCAATGCGTGAGTGATTTGAGTATTATAAACATCATTTAAAATCGAAATTTACCATTATTTTATGTTGAATGATGTTGGTATAACTTAACACAGAAACAGGTACAATCTTTCACATCTGTTGGTACTAAACAACTTAAAATTGGTATCTGTTTACAAAAAAAATACTTTTTTATATTATTCCCATTGTTATTTTTCTTTGACAAAATGTGGTACAACTTAACACAGAAATAGGTACATCCTTTCACATAAGTTGGTACTAAACAACCTAAAACGGGTATCAGTTTACAAAAAAAATACTCTTATATTATTCCCATTGTTATTTTTCTTTGACAAAACTTGGTACAACTTAACACAGAAACAGGTACATCCTTTCACATACGTTGGTACTAAACAACCTAAAACTGGTATCAGTTTACAAAAAAATACTTTCTTATATTATTTTCATTGTTATTTTTCTTTGACAAAACTTGGTACAACTTAACACAGAAATAGGTACATCCTTTCACATATGTTGGTACTAAACAACCTATAACGGGTATCAGTTTACAAAAAAAATACTCTTATATTATTCCCATTGTTATTTTTCTTTGACAAAACTTGGTACAACTTAACACAGAAACAGGTACATCCTTTCACATACGTTGGTACTAAACAACCTAAAACTGGTATCAGTTTACAAAAAAATACTTTCTTATATTATTTTCTTTGTTATTTTTCTTTGACAAAACTTGGTACAACTTAACACAGAAATAGGTACATCCTTTCACATATGTTGGTATTAAACAACCTAAAACGGGTATCAGTTTACAAAATATTAGGCAGTACAACAAATAGGTACATCCTTTCATTTGAGAAATAGGTACATCCTTTCATTTGAGACTGAAATTCGATGTTTTTATGTGTTCATTACAAGTGATACTAAAGACCAAATATTAGGCAGTACAACAATATAAAACTGGTACTATCTCACTCAATTTATGGTATTACTTTTTGTAAATGTTGACCAAAATTGCAATTATCCATTTTTCTTGACAAAAGTAGGTACTAATCGATCAAAAACAAGTACCACGTAGAAGAAGATGTGGTTCTATTTTGGGTAAAACAGGTACTATTTTAGAAATCGTGATTTCTCTAATCCTTCATGTCTACCATGACACGTGGACCATTCACGCGTGATTTGGATGAAAAACAGTGGAAGTTAAAACATATAGGTAGAATTTGGAATAGTCATGTATGATGATTCTATAAGATGAAGTGTGTCATTCAATGAAATGATGTGTATTAGTAGTGTTTTCTTATTAGTATGTCAAGTTCATGACCAGTTTATGATTAAACTCAATTCAAAATATTTTAAATCTCATATAAAGTAATGTGAGAGTAATTATAGGTCATATAAACATCATTTGATACTGAAATTCGGTGTTTTTATGTGTTCATTACAAGTGGTACTAAAGACCGAATATCAGGTACTACAACAATATAAAATTGGTATTATATTACTATATGTCTGGTACTACTTTTTGTAAATGTTGATCAAAATTGAAATAATCTATTTTCGTTCAAAAAAGTAGATACTAATCAATCAAAAACAGGTACCACGTAGAAGAAGTTGCGGTACTATTTTGGCTAAAACAAGTACTATTTTAAGAATCGTGATTTCTCTAATCTTTCATGTCTACCATGACACGTGGATCGTTCACGCATGATTTGGATGAAAATAGTTGAAGTTAAAACATATAGGTAGAATTTGGAGTAGTCATGTATGATGATTCAATGAGATGAAGTGTATTAGTAGTGTTTTATCATTCGTGTGTCAAGTTAATGACCAATTTGCGATTAAACTCAATGAAAAACATTGTAAATCTCATATAAACATCATTTGAGACCGAAATTCGATGTTTTTTTTATGTTCGTCGGAGTTGGTACTAGGGACCCGATATCTAGTACTAAAATACCAAAAGCTGGTACTATCTTATTCTAGGTCTAGTACCAATTTTTGTAAATGTTGACCAAAATTGAAGTAATCCATTTTCGTTGACAAAAAGTAGGTATTAGTTGATTAAAAACAGGTACTACGTAGAAGAAGAAGCGGTACTATTTCTGTTAAAACTGGTACCGTTTTACTAATCGTAATTTCTTTAATCCTCCATGTCTACTATGCCACGTGAATCATTCACGCGTGATTTGGTTGAAAAATAGTGGAAGTTAAAACATATAGATAGAATTTGAAGTAGTCATGTATGATCATTCAATGAGATGAAGTGTATCTTTTAATGAGATGAAGTGTATTAGTAGTGTTTTTTCATTAGTGTATTGAGTTCGTGACCAATTTGATATTAAACTTAATGAAACACATTTTAAATCTGATAGAAAGTAATGTGAGAGTGATAATGAGTCATATAAACATCATTTCAGACCGAAATTCAGTGTTTTTTTTATGTTCGTCGGAGTTGGTACGGAAGACCCGATATCTGGTACTAAAACACCATAAAGCTGATACTATCTTACTCTAGGTCTGGTACTAATTTTGAAAATATTGACCAAATTTGAAATAATCTATTTTTTGTTCTTTCTACAAAGTAGGTACTAATTGATCAGTAATTGGTACTGCATAGAAGAAGAAGTGGTACTTTTTGTCAAAAAAATAGGTACCATTTTACGAAATTCGTTTTTTTTTTTATTCATCGGAGTTGATACTGAAGACCCGATATCTGGTACTAAAACACCATAATTGTGGCACTATCTTACTCTAGGTCTGATACTAAAATTAAAAATGTTGACCAAAATTGAAGTAATTCATTTTCTGGTACTATTTGTTTTAAAACTGGTACAATTTTACTAAACATAACTTAAAATTTCACATCAATTTTTTTATACAAAGTAAATACTAATTACTATAAAACGAGTACAATATTGCATAAGGTTGGTACTAATGTGAAGAAAACGAGTATCAGTTTCTAAAACATAACTTCCTTAAGAAAACTAGTATCATCTTCTCAAAATTCATCAACAAATGTACCTTACAAACCAATAAGAAAACACTGAACACGGTATCAAAATTAATGCTGCTGCTAATTCTTTTCTCATGATGAAATTGGGCCTTGTAGACTTTTGACCTCACCTATTAACTGAACCAGTATAACACCTTCAAACTTACAACGAGTTCCCCCAAATCCAGGATACGCTAATTCCATGGGTACAATCTCCATCCGAAAAGCCCAGCCTCCATAACCTTCTACTATTGGCGTTACTTTTGTCTGCCAAAGGCAAATAAATGTCAAATTCACATAAAATGGCCGCTGAAGGTGAAATAAAAAATAAAAAATAAAAACTCAGCGATGAAGTANAAAAAGAAACTCAGCGATTAAGTACCTCACAGAAACTAAGGACATCAATCATCTTTTTCTTATGAAGTTGACGAACGAAATCATTCAGCTCCATTAGCCTAGGTGATCCACTTTTCAATTCTTATCAATTCCCAATCAGATGAATGAATACTATCTCCGGCATAAGAAAATCTGATTCAATTCCCAATTTAACAAAAATGGTGACCCAACCAAACATATACACACGCACAAATCACACAGAAAGTAGGAGATTCGCCTAGCGGAATCTGGAGTTAAGACGTCACCGTATCGTCATCCTTGCTGAACATTATGTTCTCTTCTTCTTCGCAGCGCCCAAATTGGACCTTGGTGGGGTTCTCCTCCTCTTCCTCCGCGCCGGCCGAGCTTTCCGTCTGCCCCGCCGTCGTAATAGATCTGCTTTCCCGTAAATCCTTTTACTTCAAAAGAACATATCAATTCAATACAAGATGAATTAGAAAAATATTTTAGAAATAAATGCCAATCTAAGCTAAAGAAACTGTGAACTCCAGAAAAGTAGCAACTTTATAGGACAAAACTCAAAATCTAATCAATTTGAGCCATATCCTAATTCCTAATAGAATTTGTGCCCCATAAACGTGTTTCCTTTCATATAGATCGGCCAACGAGTTTTATCACCTTAACATTCCCAAATCCCATAAACGAACAATTATCACCAACAAAAATCCAACCTTTACCAAAAAAACACAAGACCCAAGAAAATACAGAAAAAAAAAATGTTTGCAACAATGGCAGGTGAAGGGTTGGAAATCAATCTGGCGGCAATCTTCAACGCTGCAGTGCTTTTAAAGATTTGGAAACGTCGGTGTCCCCATTTAATTTATATTTTTAGTCCTTTTAATCACAGATCGGAAATTAAACGGAGAAAAACGTATTTGCAGAGAGCTAAATCAAGTGGGATTTGGGCCGATGAGTGGGGAAGTCAGGGTTTTGATTACCTTGATTCCCCTAGAGACCGCGTTCTTCTTGCAATTTCGAAGGTTTCAACGAGAAGCTTTTTAATGGAAAAAGAGAGAGACGACGGCGATGGAAAATCAGAGAGATAGAGAGAGAGACGGGAACGAGAGAGAGTTGCAATTTTTTTTTCATTTTTTATGATTTTCAACCAAAATAAAGCAATAATAATAATATTAGTATTTATATGGGGAGTGAATAGGAAAGATAATGTAGTAGTAGGGAGTGCAGAGGAAGAAAAATAAGTTAGGGACTGACAAGGAACTTGATTTGTGCATTAGGGATTTTAGAAGAATTAACCGGTATAATTATGAAGATAATATTTATCATTTGCTTGTTGAAAAGAAATTATTTATCCATATATGAAAATTTAGAAGAAACTCATTTTGTATGGAATCTTTTTCGCTTAATTTCATATTTGGACGTCCTTTTTTCCAATTCCATGTTTCCAAATGGTTAGGTGTAGCCGCGTAGCACTAGTTACTCTTTAGTTATGAATAGATTCAATTGAATGACTACTTTTCTAAAGTGGTAAGCATAAATTTATATAATTATATTGCTCCCAATTTTTTAAATATATTACAATATTTGTTAATATATTATCTTTACTAATTTGAACATTGAGTACATTTCTGATTCAGAGTTTTATTAAAATTGTCCAACCTTCACAGAAGTTGTGTTATTAAATTTGTAATTCTAAATCATAAAAAATATTTCTACATTATTTAATATTTGACTTAATTTGTTTACAACAATAAGAGCATAAAATAAATGTCCCACTATAAGCATTTTATTTAAATAAAAAAAATATCTATCCATATGAGACTGCATGTCGATGAGAATATTAACACATTCTATGTCTTCGTTAATTCTTAGAGCTATCTTATATCTTATTGTAGCAGAGAATAAGACAGATAAGATAAAATAATAAAATAAAAGCAGCATAAACACTATGGATATGCCTTTTTATGCTAAAAGCAATATCTCAAAAACGATGCCAAAAAGGAAACAAAAAGTAAAAGAAAATAAAAGTACAGAAGCCCCATTATCGTTACAGTTACCATAATCATATTTCTACACCACAAGATACGAATTACGATGACGTAAAAAGTTATACGAAGTACAAAATACGCCAATCTGCAGCCATTAAAGTCAAAACGAAAAGTGAACGCGCTATAATATTATAGCACCGCCTTAGTTTTTCTTGCCTCAGTCAATGGGGGTCAAAGCATGCTTCTCCTTTTTTGTTCAGTTTGATTACACTCCAAAGCATACTATAAATTCTCCAGATCAATAATTTCCCCACTTTGATAACAATATTTTGCCAAATTTCAAAAAATTGTTAAGTTGGCAATAATAGTTAGAGAATGATGTGATCCATGTCGGACAACAAGATCAATAGCACATAATGATAAGATTTAGTATTGTTTCTCAACCTTGAACATCATTAATTGATTTTTTTGACGAAGTCATGATAATATTTTCTGTCATATTATCTGTTTGGACAATATCACGTGTTTTAGATATTGTTTTTATCAAAATATATAATTTCCTCCAGTATGCTTAACAAACTGTTGCATTTGTTCATACCAATTAATGTTTTAACTATCGTTCTGAATCTGTCGGTATTACCGGTAGTAGGTCTGATCGGTACAGTAGCCCTATAAATACAAGTTTTGGCAAAATACCGGTATGATACACTAAAAATACTGGTCAAAATACCATTTAAAATACCAAATAAATTTTTTAAATATTTCTTATATTCTTATCATTTTTTACATAAATTGAAAATTGTACACATACTTTTAATATTTTTAAATTATTATTAGATACTAATTAATTTTATTAGTATTTACTAAAATTGTTTTATACATTATTTATGTAATAATAATACATTAAATTAGTATTCGTTAAAACCAAGAAAATAGGTGGTAGTGGTTCGTCTGTATCTAAACAATGTTTGATATAATATCATGATAGCTCGTTGAACCGACCTGAGTTGTTAATTAGTTCAAGTGTGACCGACTCAAGGGAGCTTCAGCTCGCTGTCAGCACTCCAACTCGTCTGGGAGCTCGGTATAGCAGCTCAGGATACAGGTCGACCAGAATGGAGAATAAGAGGCCGAGCTCCTCGGGGAGCTCAAACAGACGAGGGTCGGTATTACCTTAAGGTCATACATGTGAGGGTCGTTGTTTCGGCCTGGTAAGCGCCTACGGCGGATGAGTCACAAGGTCCTTGTAACGACCTAAGGACTTTTTGTTGTGTTTTTGTGTTATTTTTCGTGTGTTTTTCGTGCCTTAGTTGAGTCTTTTTGGTTCGTTTTAGGGTTGACCGTTCCATTTTATCGTGTTTTGTTTACTTTTTTATCTCGTTTTGTATTTTTGTGCTGTGCCGTAGTTTTCTGGTCTTTTTGGTGTTAAATAGGTCCATTATTGCGAAGCTTGGGAAAAAGAGCCGTCTGAGTCGGTCGAGCCGTCCGAGCTATTATCCGAACCACCCGAGCCGTGCAAGAGAAAGAAAGTCGAGAGACCCGGTCCAACACGAGAATCCGCTCGCGTCCGCGCGCCCGCGCTCGTCTAGCAGCCCCGCGTGCCCGTGCGCATGTGCCCGTGCTCCCGACAAGCTCAACACTCGCCCAACTCGTGCCTAGGCGAATTTTTTGGCCAAAATACTCAAATGGGCGAGTGTTTTTCATTAAATGTATGTTTTGAGTGTGTGTTTGAGGTGTGGGTATAAATACACCTCTTTCTTTGTATTTTGAGAATCAAACTTTCATTTCCCACTTTTCCCACTTTAGGAATAAGTTTTTCTTTTGTTTTATGTTTTGTGTTTGGGAGCTCCAATTGATATTTTTTGGCAACTTTTCCGGCGATTTTTCGGCGACCTTATTTTTATTCAAGATTAGATCTTTACGCATTATTTTCGTCCGAGCTTGCGATAGGAGAGTAAGTACCTCGATTATGGCTTATTACTTCGAGTTTGTTTCCTTCTTGCATATGATGTTTATCAAGGTTGAGTTGGTTTATTGGTCAGAATAATGTGTATATGCTCTGTTCTTGGAATTTACTTTCATTCTTTTGTGTTCTTGAGTGTTAGGAGCTAAATTTGTGTCTATCTTGTTATAAAAGTCTCGACTTTGTTTAAGCGTGATTATTTAATTAAGAAGTCTCGGTTTATCTACCTAGGATCTCGTTGCTAGCATATTTTCTCTTTGTTTTATTTTCGTTTTCATCAAGTCTAGGTGACTTCAGATAACCAAAGTTCACGTCTTTCTCTCTGAAAGCTTGCATCTTTAATTCAATGCTCTCGATTCTTAGCTTTAATTAGTCTTAATTCAAGTTCAACCATCATGATTAGTATGTTTAGAATTTTATTTGCTATTTTTGTGCCTTTGAACGACTAAGTAGTAGGCTGAGCTCCGAACCGTCTTCCTTTGAGAGACGACCCGAGTTCAGATAACTCGGTTATCAACCTATACCGCTAGAAATCTACAAAACAAATGGCGCTGTTGCTGGGAAAAGCAAGTAGGACGCCTTTGTTTGCTATTTAGTTGTCCCTTGTTTATGTGTTTCTCTTGATTTTTGTGCTATTTGATTAATTTCCGTGTTTCGTTTGCTTTCTCTTGCTTTTGGTAAATAGTGTGTGTTTGTTTCTTACTTCCCGTTGGTGAACTCACGGGTATAGTATATTGTTTGTGTTTATGCGAGGTAGACAAGGACATGGAACCCGAGAGGAGACAACACCAATCGATCTACACGTTGAGCTTAACATAGACGAGCCACAACTCGAGCCGAAAATATTAATGGCGAATCAAGAAGAGCAACTACCACCGCTGACTCTTCCATGAGGTACTTTGCTCTCCTAATCATTGGTGACAACTCATGTCTCGTGGAGGCGGCCCGGAATTATGATCTCAAGACGATTCATCTAAACCAACTCCCTTCGTTTTATGGTCTCTCACAAGAGGATGTGCTTAATTTCACCCGGGAATTCTATTCTACGGTCAATATCTTTCCTCCACAAGGCCTTACCGATAACCAACTCCCAAATGCATTGCTTCCCATACACGTTGAAGGATCGAGCTAAGACATGGTTCATGACACTACTCTTGAACTCACTTACCAATTGGGAAGCCGTCTACGAGAAATTCATGGGAAAGTACTACTCCCCTCAAAAGACGATGGATACTCGTGCTCCAATGGCGAGTTTTAGTCGAAACTGGGAGATACCTTCCACGAGACGTAGGAATGGTTCAAAGGCTATCAACTTCAATGCCCACATCATCACTTTTGCCTTGTGGCCTTGAACCAATTCTTCTACGACGACCTTCATCAATAGCTTCAATACATGGTGGATTATGCAGCCAGAGGAGATATAGAGAGCCATACGGAGGAGGAGATTTATGACTTGTATGAGAGGTTGAGCGAAAATTCCCAAAGGAAGAGTGTCTGAAAGCGAGTTCCTGCGAATGAAACTGCTTCTACATGCGACTCTTTGACAAGATGCGGTGTTGGCCTAGTTGACCTTGTTTGAAGAACTCAAACACCTTCGCGTATGGGATACAAAGTCGACTCAAGTAGTGATGGTGGAGGCATATGGAAGTTGTGAATAAATGAGGAATGGAGCTCATAAATGCCCGAGGTATATGGAGGCCGAGTTATGACCCGAATCTTGAAGGGGTCCC